GGTTTTACTGTACACCAACCACCATTCTGAACATTTCCATATGTATTGGTGTACTTTCTTTACAGCAGAGGAGACAGAAGCACTGAGATAGATAGATAGATAGATACATAGATAGATAGATACGTAGATAGATACATAGATAGATACATAGATAGATACATAGATGACAGATAGTTGCCTAAGGCCTTTTAGCTAATAAAAGAAATAATAAGAATTCACATTCAGGAAGTCTGGGATCAAATGCCTGTTTTCTCAGTCAGAGAAACTTTCTAATCACGTATTCAGGCAGTATCCTGACAGTCTAACCCAATGAGTATTTTTAACGAATACATGAATTCTCAATGACACACGTAGTGAGAATAAGTAATCTGAAACCTTATGAACTGTGACCTATTTGTTGGGGTTTGTTGCAGAATTGTTGATCACTTTGGAGTGAACAGATTAAGATCATGAAACTTTGCAGTTACAGTGATTAGTGGAAATAATATAAGATTTGTAACAGAGAATGAATGAATAAATCTCTAGGAGGAAAGTGCCATGGATTTAAAAGTTAAAAGTCGATTTATACTTGTGGTTTCATGAAGGGAGGCCTACTGTGTGAGGCAGCTCTGCCTTCACTAACTGGAGTTCTTTTCATCTCAAGGAGATGGCTGCTAGGGTTTCAGAAGCAAAGGGATCCATTCCTAGCTTTGAAAGCTTGTGGGATTAGCAGGCACTAAACTAAACCCAGATGCTGACTTCAGCATTTGGAGCACTGAGAATGTCTGGCATGGCTCTTACTGCAGATCATACAAGGCATTTCCTTGTTAATTTGATGGAATGGTGATTATGTTTGGAAGGCATAAGAGAAAGACTTTTCTTTCTTTGACTATCTGGGTCTCCAAGTTTTCTGCCATGATTTTCCTAGCTAATGAATGACCTTGAGCAGCCTCTGGAAGAGGTCTAAATCCTGGCTGAATAAAATGCATGGCCATCTGCGTAGACAGAATGAGCAGAAAGAATAATCTGGAAGCTCCAGCGTGGTGCTTGTGCCACTCTCCAGTTTAGAATGACCAGAAAAAAATTCCATCAACTTCTTATTCATTTTAAACATTCCCAGCTTAAATGTTCATCTTCTTTAATTAGTTAATGACATTGCAAGGGTTTTATTGTTTCAGTTTATAAACACTTTCCAAATACTTATGATTCATATGATGGGTTTACTTTTTTGAATCGAAAATACCTCAAAAGAAGTCAGGCTTTTTCTTTCTCTTGTGGGTATGTGTTTGTGTGCACCCACGCATATGTGTGTGTGTGAATGTTAACACATATGGGCACATGTGTGCATATGTATCTTCTGTGCATGCCCGTGGAAACCTGAAGTTGATGTCTGGTGGCTCTTTCTTTTGCTCTCTGTTTTGAATTGTGGAAGGTCACTAAGTCCAGAGCTCTCCAATTCCAGATAGCCTAGCTAATCATCTTGCCTCAGGAATCCTCTGTCTCTGCCTCCCCAGTGCTGAGATTACAGGAAGGCTGCCACACCTGCTTGGCCTCTCACACAGGTGTGGGATCTGACCTCTGGTTGTCTACTGAGTCGCTCCCCAGACCTGACTTTCACTTTTTCTCATGATAATTTACAACAGAAACAATTTAGATAAATTCATTGCAGAATGCATTTATGGAAGTATATTTGGGCATTGGAATTTTTTAAATGCGTATTTCTGCCTTCCCAATTGTACCTTTAAGAACTATTCCAGTGGTGTACGTTATTACCAGTGCATACACTTTCGAATCCTGTGAAGGGGGGTTGATGTGAAGGAAAGAAAAACAGCAGCTTCTCCATCTTTACCTCTCTCACCATGTATGTGTGCATATATACTACATATGCAAAATATATGTAAACAGGACATTCAGCCTCTTATAAGATAGACACTGTGTTCACTCATGTAAATATGAATACATACACATACCCACAAGCAAGAGTAAAAGTCTTACTAAAAATGTGTTTTGACTGTTAATGGTATATTAACTATAGCAGATAGAATGTCTACTTTGTGACACGGACACTGGTGGAGGACATGTATGTGTGGAAGCAATGAAGTAACATGAGACATCTCTCTGACTTCTGCTCAATTTGATAGTAAGTTCAAAGCTGCTCTTCAAACAATAAAGGTTATTCAGTGACTGGGGAATATTTCAATCAGCAAAGCACTTAAGCGGCAAGTGGGAGAAGCCGCTTGACTCCTGGTTCCCACATGTAATTGGCCAGCAGAGTGGCCTCTGTAATGTCAGCACTGGAGCTCATTGGCCAGCAAGTCTAACTTAATCAGTGAGCTACTGGCCAATGAGATACTTCATGTCAAAAAAGGTAAATGGCATTCCCAAAGATGATACAGTCAAAGATGATAACTCTTCCACCTCCGGATACATGGGCATATACGTGTATGTGCATTGTTCCCCCCACAGGCAGCTGCACACACACGAACACATACACACACACAGAAAATACAAAGAGTAAATGTTATTAAAATCGGTGTTGCAATGTTATGCTTCTGAAACTTGCCATACAAGTTATCGAATCCAGATAAAACTCCTTTGACGGTATTCCACTTGATAATGATGCAAGCCTTCTATATTTCATAATATACATTAAGACAAAATCCACTAGAATATGAGAGAGCAGTGTTAGCTTCAGCAGTCAAATATGCTACATGATTGATTTGCAATGACCGTGTGGTGTATGGTACTGGAGCGGGTCAGTTGTTTTGCTGAGTTGGCCAGTTTTACTTCTGTTCTGCGTTCATTTCCCAGAGCTGAAGGGAGATGACATTTTGGTTGTCACATGTCACCAGAGTCACACCCCACCACAGTTATGTTGGCTGCAAGTGTGAATGAATGCTGAATCACGTTCTGGAGGGAAGAGCGACAGGGGAGTCATTAGGTGAGGGATAGGAAAATAGAAGCTAGAAGCTAGAAGGGTGCTTGCCTTGCCTTGGCTTCATTTGCCTTTGGGAAGTGTAGCCTTTGCATGACATCATTCTGATCTAGTGCTTTGCGTGACGACATACTCTGAGGTGACGCAGCACTCCTCTCTGTCTGAAATCTGTGCTAGCATCCCCTGCCTTCGAAGTAGCTCCATAAATCCTCGGGGTCACTTGTTCAGTCATGAATCTTTCACATCAGGAGGCTTCTGTTGCCTCCTGATTGGGTAGTAGAGGAAGATAGAGCTAGTGCCCCAGGCTTCCACAATAGCAACCAATGTGCTCTGAGCCCCTTAGAAGGTTAGAGCAGAACTGTGCTAACCCATGGTCTTCAATGCTGCTTTGCCAGTGTTCGTTCACTTTCTGGATCCTTCCTTCACTAAAATTTCTATTCAGTTGTTAGCAACTGAGTGATTTTGCCTTACACAAGGAAAGATAGCTCCATTAAATGCCCTTTGAAGCTTTGCACAACTGTAGAAAGATACTTCATGTATAAGTTAAAACAGTAGAAATCTCTGCTACAGCTTTTCCATGCTTTTTTCCTCTGTCTGTCCCTCCAGCTTGTCTGAATAATTCTAAACTGGAGAACCAGGGCATTAGGAAAGTCCTTGTTTCCTTATACTTACTCTAAAACTGCCTACTTTTGAATTTGAGAAATGTAGACAACCCTAGAACCATGTCCCACACTGACAGCTTTCCTCGATTTCAAACACATGTAAGCACAGTAGATGTTGGCTTCCCAGGAGACTGCACAGAACACAGTGTTTAGGAATGCTGTGCACGCCCAGTCTGTCTGCTTCCAGGACCTGGACTGGGGCTTCGGCTTGTTCTCCCTGGAGCTATACTTGGTCAACAGAGAGTTTGCTGAATAAATGAATAAGTTAATATGATTCCCAGTGTCAGGGAAGATTTCATCAGCCCGGGTCAAAGCACTTTAAAGGAATCATTAGGAAAAAGCTACATCTTATTACAGAATTGATCAAAGTAGAACTCAAGGCTCTACCTGCTTTATTGTACAAGTGAAGAAATTGAGAACAAACAAGCAAATCGTGCTCAAGGTTAGGATTCTGTCAACTGCACAATTAGGACTGCATCCATGTCTCCTTCCCATTTTGTTCAACACAGTTGACTTCTATCTAGGCATGCCAGTAGTACATGTTGAAGAAACTATAATACTTTATTGGGAGAGAGTGAATTAATTTGAAAATAATCAACATGCCTCTAGAATAAATCTGATCTTCAAGCTGATTTAAATGGATCACCCCACCCCCACCACAGCCCCACCTACCCTCCTTCCCTCCCTCCCTCTCTCTGTGTCTCTGTCTCTGACTCTCTCTCTCATTTTAACAAGGTTTTACCATATTTGGTTTTAGTTTGGGGATGTAGTTCATGTAGCTAGTTAATCAAACTGTAAAGTCACAAGAGGAGAGAATTGAACTTGTTACAGAATTGTTTTCTCTTCTTTAAGTGGGTAAAAGAACAGTGCCCTTCATTATGAAGTAAAGACCATATGTGAGACATGGCACTGAAGATCTAAGTGTTCAAGTCGCTGTGACCTTTGGAACTTAGGTTACTTGGCTTTCTAGTCTCTTAGTGATATTTTTGCCATGTGCAACTATGAAGCTATGTTACTGTATTTGACACAAATATGTATTTTTATTTCTAGCAGATAGGATAGCTTTGAAAATAAAAAGGTTTCCCAAGTTATTCCAAATATTTTGAAGATTTCTGAGGGCAAATTTCTATCTTATGTATCTACTTTGTCATTCCTGATTCAAGTGCTCACTTGTAGATGTTTTACAGTCAGATGAGGGTGCAGCAGATGATGGATACCTACAGCTTCCTCTCTGGGTCACTTTCCCTCCCTCCCCTCTGTTTGTCTTTTTGTCTCTGTGTGTTTCTGTCTCTGCTCTGTTTAACTAATTGGAAGGTAATCAATAATGCCTCAATAATCTCTTCCTCCCTCCCCCCTCTTTCTCTCCTCTTGGCCTCATCATTTGTGAACCCTTAAATCACTAGGATCTTTTTCATTCTTTGCAGATAAATGTATTACCAGAAATTCAGCCTCAGCTTTGCAGAAAAGAAGGCTTGTGTCAAATGGTCAGAAGATTTCCAGGTAACCTTTAGTTTCCTTCTTGATGCATGAGCGTTTGACATCTGAAGGCTTCTGGATACATCACAAATAACACGGCCTCAAGACATAATCTCCAGCTCCCCTCTATCAACTCCACTGTGATAAGTCTTCCCTGATGCCCAGGCTTTGCCAATGATAATACCTCATACTAACACGTCTGGTACTTTTAGCCTTTTGTTTTTTCCCTCTGGTTTGCCAGGAGTCTGTTTCTATTTGTCATATCTGTTTCTTTTAGAAAATAATTCTGCCTTAGTTTAAAAGGGATTGTTGTTGTAATTCTTAGTTATATATAACTTGACTTTTTAAAAAAAGGTTTATGATTACATCATTGGGCTGGTTATTTTTGTTTTGCTTTGTCAACTTGACACAGATCAGGGTCACCTGGGAAGGGGAAACTTTAACTGAGAAAATGTCTATATCAGATTGGCCTGCATTGTAGGCAAAACTGTGGGACATTTTGTTCCTTAGTGCTTGATGTGGCCCAGACCACTGCTGGCTAGTGCCAACACAGGTGGGCTAGGCCGTTCTGGTTTATACAGGAAAGCAGCCTGATCATGAAGAGCAGCACTCCTACGTGGCTTCTGCTGCAGTTCCTGCCCTGTGTTCTTGCCTTGACTTCCAAGCTGTGTGGTGAAACAAGCCTTCTCCTCACAGAATTGCTCTTGGTCATAGTGGTTTATCACAGCAACAGGAGGCAAGCTAGAGCATTTATTCTGTTCTCCAAATTTTGCTTTTCCTCTCTGAAATCATCTCACTGTGTTCAAGGCAGGACATGCAATTAAGTTCTATCTTCATTGTATCAGGAATTTTGGAGAAAAATCGCTACCTCCAGTTACTACACAGTCCCCAGAGTGGAACATTTGTCAGAAGGGAAGTAAGCCTCCACAGATGAAATGAGTCTTCCCAGATAACATTATAGCCTACCTTAGAACTCATTGGTGAGAGTACCTCCAATTTCTTGTTTTAAAACCATTAGTGCTTGTACCCCCAGGAAGTGTTTTACTTCATAATTAAAATTTATATCTGCATGACTTCATTTCTGTATTTATTAATTTATGTATTGGCAGAGTCAGGAAACATGGCACACTGTTACCCACAGGCTTTTCTGTGGAGTTTTGCCTCCATGTCATGTGTCAGCCTGGCAGGCATGTCTCACTATACTGAGGGAAGTCTCCTCTCCACTAACCAGGGATTATATGGAAACAAATCAGTAATTTTTCTTTAAATTTAAGATACATTTCCAAAGTATAGAGTGAGTGAATTTTGTTCTCTGTGTGTCCTTTCACAGCACAATATGGCTGAATGCATAGTTTCTGGCTCATTTATTTATTTATTTTTAAGCTAAAGCCTCAAATTCCCTGAGTAGCCAATACTGTCCTTGAATTTATATTCCCCATGCCTAACTCACAAGTGCTTCAAGTTTTAGGTGTGTGCCATCACTCCTGGCTTAAAGTCCCCACCTCACCCCAATCTACCTCCTCTGCAGGGATAGGAACTGTACCAGAGCCTTGGTATGCTAAGAAAGTGCCCTACCATTTAGCTACACCTCTAGATAGCTTGTTATTTTGTAAAACATAATGTGGGCCTGGGGAGAGGACTCAGTCAGTAAACTGTTGTCTTATAAGAATGCATACCTGAGTTTGGTTCCCATTATCTATGTCTTGCCAGTTCAGTAAGCTCCAGATTCCATCAGAGACCCTGCCTCACAATAAAGTAAAGAGTGATTGGGGAAGACACGTGATGTTGGCCTCTGCCGTCTGTGTACACACATGCACACACCCCTGCACATACATATACACACTCAAGTAAATAAGTAATAAACAAAAAGCGTGTTCTTCTGAGCTAAGTAAAACTGTTGTTTCCACCACTAAATGTTAATAAACACTAGAGTTCCTTTAGTTAAGATAATCGCCACCCCAAATTATCTGCCTTTTGAGCATAGCTTCCAGGTTTTAGCATGTTGCTGTTGTTGCTTTCCCACTGTAATTTGTGTGTAAGAATGGTTGATTCAGAATAAAAGTCTTTTAGTATTATGGAAAACAAAAGGACAGCACAGCAGTGAATGGCTGTTTGTTGTATGGAACGCACACACACACACACACACACACACACACACACTCCTCAAGGAAGTCTACTACGTTATTCTTTCCTAGGTTCCTAAAATTAGGAAGTATTTTCTGCCTTCTTTAGTTTGAAACTCTCTCTTGTGCTCATTTTCTATTTATCTCCTAACCAGATAGTTTTGTGGAGTCTTTTCTCCTACCATGTTATTTTTCCTAAGCTGAAGATGATCTTTTTAAGTGTCTAGCTTTAAAAACATGTACCTGTAGCATTGTTTTCTGATTTGAATTTTATGAACAGTAGCTTTTGTGGCACTTTTGTCTATGAATATACAAAATATAATATAAACTTATTCACAGACTGAAACTAATTGAATATTCAATAGTGAGTGCAGACTGGGTAATAACAGCCTAGTACTTAGTGTATGGGGCCATTCAAGGTTGGGATGGGCTGAGGACAGCGTGTGTGGCTCTACTCCCTTACTCGGGAGACAGGCATGATTGTGAATCTGAGGCCAGCTGGGTTGGTAACACACTGTCTCAAAAAGAAAATCATGAAAATAAGATAATGCTCATGGAACATTAACTCACTGCTGAGTCCACTGAGCTACAGAAGACACATCAAAACTGTGGGGCACACAGAGTACTGGTCAGTCTCAGCGGGTCACAAACAAAATTAATAAACATGTCCTGGCCGGGCATTGGTGGCACACGCCTTTAATCCCAGCACTCGGGAGGCAGAGGCAGGCGGATCTCTGTGAGTTCAAGACCAGCCTGGTCTACAAGAGCTAGGTTCCAGGACAGCCTCCAAAGCAACAGAGAAACACTGTCTCAAAAAATAAAATAAAATAAAAATAGACCTGTCCTGCGAGGAGGGGGGCTGACAGAATGATAGGGAGATAGGTGACAGTGGGTGCTATGTACTGCATTCACGTGCAAAGTTGTCTAAAGCCAATTTGGTCAACAGAAAACATCATGAAAATAAGATGGTGCATATGAAATTTTTAGCAGAGTGCTTGCAATATTAAAGTGTTCAATTAGCAGCTATTATTTTTGGAGGAAAAACAAACAGAAACACAAAATTAAACATAATCCTACATAATATATTCCGTTTGCAGCCAAAATAGCCCGCACTGTTTTAGATTCTGTATTATTTAGAGGCTAATGAAAGTTTGAAAGCGGAGACTTTCAGCTTTGCTACTAGTTAGCAATATGAATTACTTAATTTTATGGAAACTTTTTGGCACTGCTTTGCTTTTGTTTTCAAATCTTTAAGTGTGGATAGTTGGGCCTATTTCATAATTTAGTTTTTAAAATCTGGTGGATTATATGTGCATATATAACATTTGATTAAAAATAAAACTTGCGGTGTATTATACCCAGCACATATGCTTAACACCTGGTGGCTGGACCACGCCTATTTTTGAAAAATTGAGCAGTAGTCTCACATTACTCAGTTTTTTTTCTCTTTTTATGATTGATTATCACAAGAATTTTATGATTCTGGGAAAAACTCTGAAAGGTGTGAGATTTGGCCTACTCCTCAGCTCACAAGACACGTCGCACACTTTCGTGGATATTGTCGGGATGATACAAGATGCCTATGTCAGAAAGAAATGAAGTTGGTATTCGCAGAATTAATAGTATGAGCAATGCCCAGCGTTTGTATCCGTTCAACTTTAGTTCACCATCGTATGACTGGGTGACACCTAATAAATGCCTCGGTTTGCATTCCAGGCGAGGAACTTTGGACTTAAGAGGGTTTGTACATTTTCTAACAGACAGTGCACTGAGCTGGTAGAGTGCTCTCCTACATCCATGGAGCTTAGCTTCAGTCTCCAGCACTGCATGGACACAGGCATGTTGGTGCTTGCCTGGAATCCTAGAGGTGGAGGCAGGAAGAGGAGGGAGGGTGCAGGTCATCTTTGACTACTGAAGGAGCTAAGGACAGCCTGGGCTACTTTAGACACAAAACCAAACTTTCCCTCTTTCCTAGAGGTATCATTTCTGCCTCCCAAGACTATCCATTATATAAATATCTTTGAAAAGACAGTTTGGAAGAAAAATTGTTAATGTGTCTGTAAAATGTGCCAAAGAGAAGTGTCTCCATCAGTTTTGGAGATCCATGACAAGGTCTCACTCTGAAGGGTAATCAGTAACTAGTGTAATACCTTTTGTTGCTTCTGTCTGTTAGTCTGTAAGAATATTGAATTTGGAAGTTGTCAGTTAATCCGGTGATTCCACAGGGATTCGCTGTCTAGCTTTGTCTTCAAAAAGATGTAGATAGCAAGATGCTAAGAGGAGTGATGGACGAATGGGTGGATGCATTTGGGACTCAGACAAGTGAAAGAGGGCCAAGTTCTGGCCAGAAGCAGAAGTCTGGTCAGAGATAACTTGCAGGGCTCACAGGGTGTGTTCCTTCTCCAGACAGCATCTACCCGACCTTACACTTATGACTCACATGGGAGGGCACACACCCATGGAAAGTTTTCTAGCTAGCAAAAAGATTTATTTTTGTCTTGCCATTTAATACTTTGCCTTTTGTGGGGGGAAGTTTTTATAGTATTTAGTTGACTCAGCTTGTTGTTTGTGCCTTTTATGAGCTTTTTTTTGATAAAAGGAATTGCTTTCCCATATTTGAACTACAAAAACATTAACATAAGAGGACTGTTCTGCAGGGCTGTGAGTTCTTTATATCCCTTTTACTACAGTGTCACCATCCAAGAAGCCCTGGTTTGGAGTGTGCCAAGGTTTTTGTTTTGTTTCGAGTATTATTCATTCTTTCAAGTAATTTGTGTATTAGGTCTGAGTCCTAGCTTTTGTATGAACTTTTGAAAAGAGACCAAGATATCCACTCAGCGATAACACGTGGGTCATTTTAGGACCCACATTCCCACATCCTTATTGCTATTTTAAATAACA